GCCACTTATTTATTTTCTTCTTTCCCAGGGAATATATTAAACAAATTAAATTCCTGGAGTGTTGGGTCAGCACAGCCGGCTCTGCGCCTGTCCCAACTCCACCTAGCACAGCCGTGGGGAGGGGACTGTGCTGCCCAGCGTGGAGCAAACCTGGGCACTGCTGCAGGGCCCTGGCTCTGCACTCCCCACCTCCCTGCAGTAAGGCACAGCCCCCCTAATTTCCCCTTTTCACTCCCTGGGCTGTGCTGCAGTCCTGGCTGCTTGGCAGTGCTGAAGATGGTTGGGAGGGCAGGTCTTGCAGGAAATGCAGTCCATGATTTCACATGGAAAGTCCCCTAGGAACCCACCTGCTGTTCCTGAATAGCTTCCTTGACCCCACAGCGAGGGGAGCTGTGACACAGCCCTGGCTGCTTTCCTGACTGCTTATAATGCTCCCTGCTCCGCATAGGGCTAGGGACTGATTTCAGCCACAGCATCAAGACTTCTTTCTACTTTGGTACTGGAGACATCTGGGCTAGTGACAGGTTGACACTGGAAGGTCTCTCTGCAAGATGGAGAAAACGAGGAGGGAGTGCACTTGTTCTCTGTAAAACAGGGAAAGCTGGGAGGGAGTGCATCTCCATCATAGGACTGCAGGAGCTGGGCATTTAGAAAAAAAATACAGTGCATCCCAAGAACAGCTTTATGCCACAAGCATTAACCTCACTGGTGTTTGCCTTAAATTATATAGAGACATGAGAACAAGAGCCTCTGCTGAAACAATCCCCTACACTGGGCCCTTTGCCTGCTTCAGCATCAGTCACCCCTTCACAGTCAAGTGCTATCTCTTCTCAAATTCCCTGAGGGTTGGGATGCTGTTTCCTTGCTGCTGGGCTGCTGTGCTCCATCCCAGCACCAGCTGTGTTTCAGCCCTGCTCGAAGTCTAGTTAGGTGACAGGGATGGATGGAAAACTCACAGCAAATTAGTCATTAGTCCCTGCAGTTGTTTATTTATTGTCCATTTGCAACTCTTCCCTCCATCTCCATTGTTTCCCTCCCTATTTTTCCAGCAAAGTCAATGGCAGCCTGTCCTGCTCCTCTGTCCCACCCAATCCTATCTTGTCATACCCATCTCTTACATCAGTCCCTTATACCTAACCTCAGTCCTTCAAGTTCCTCTTCATTTCAGGAATGGACCCATCTTTTGCTGGTGGAAGGGTGACTCCCTGGAGGTTAGTGACGAATTAGAAATAATTTAATTTACCTCCCTGTTCGGGTGCTTTGATGAGCTGAAAGGCCCCTTGTCAGGAAGCAAATCCATCTTCCTCTAGCCTTACATCAAATTTCATTCACTAATTAGAAACTCCTGCCCTAGACCATGCTGCCCCCACCCCAGCCACCCCTTCTCCCCACCAGCACCATTATGAAAATAAATTGTTCCATTAGCTGCATTGTTGTGGCTGTGGGGCCCGGTGCTGGGAGTTATTAGAGCAGGAGGGAGGGCGTTGGATTAAGACAAATGATTTATTACGGAAAAGGACCATGATTAGATTCTCACTTGTCCCCAGCATGTGGCTGCATACTCACACACCCCCCACCCCGATGCCCCCCGTGGCACCACGCAGCCACTCGTGGAAGGTAGTGCTGCATGGCAGTGATGTTTCTCCTGGGCTGTATCCTGCTGACTGCTCTCACAGCACTGGGAGTCCCCCATCTCCTACTGGGACATGAGGTAGCAATTGATGCCGGCTGCCCCCTGCATTGTCCCCAGCTGCCCCTGCCTACCTCTCACTTCTTTGGAGGGTGGGGACCACCGGCATCATCCCCAGCCCTGCCAATTCTGCAGCAGGGACCCACTGTGGGTACTGTGTCCTGGTGACTGCAGAGGGGGTAAGGGAAGGGAAAGGGTGGCTTTGTTAGCTCTGTACCCCACACTGTGGGAACGGGAGCTAAGGGTTCCCCACCAGCAGGAGGGTTGGCAGGGTTCACCCTTTGTGGTGGGAGAGGTTGTCAGGCCCCTCCATGTGTCCAGAGTACTCTCTGCACCTGGCAGATGTGGGGTGGACATGGCTGCAGGGGTGGATATGGCTGCAGAGGTGGACACTGCCATGGTGTGCTCATGTCCTGTTGTCCTCACAGTGCCTTGCTGTCACTATAGGCCAAGTGCATGTACCCTCCAACTTATTCCTGGAGGGGACAGAGATCAGGGACACGGGCACATGTGAGTATTCCTGGGATATAAAGGACACAAGCTGAAAAGAAAGTTATTTGTGGCACTGGATGGCCATTCTGAGAGTGGTGGGTGTCTGATGGGTGTCCAGTGTGGTGGTGGGCATGTGTCTGTCCAGGGGATAAAGGTATGTGTAAGGGGTGGGATGCGTGCATCTGTCTGTCCGTCCGCGGTGTTCATACAGGCACAGCAGGCTCTGGTTGACACCCAGAGGCTGCTGCCTGCTAAAACACCTGCATCCCTGCCCGGGAGAGGCTGCCACTCACAGGCAGAGGGGCTCTGCAGCACCTGTAGTGGGGGATATTCCCAACGTTGCTCCTCACACAGGTGCCATGGTTGAGAGAGGGGCAAGAAGAGGGGGCTCGGGACACAGGGGGAGGTGGAGGAGGAGTTCGGGGTGCAGGATGGGCTCAGCAGCACACATCACGCTGCCCCCGGGGCTCCGTGGGCTCAGGGACACCCGAGTGTTTTGGGACACCCCGCCTCCCCCATAATAGCGCTGCAGAGCGCGGGGTCCTGCCCCTGCTCCCGGAGCAGCAGCACTCCGAAAAGCCACCAAGTTTAATTACGCTAATGCAAGTGAGAGCGGGAGGCTGGTACCGGCTCCGTCTGCGGGCACCTGCAGCCTCCAGGGCTGAGCCGGGCCGGGGAGCTTCTCTGCGATCTTTGGGGTCGGTCAGCCCTCGCTGGGAGGAGGGTCCCTGCAACCTGCTGTACCGATGTCCTCAAGCACAGATATTTTGGGGTGAATCCCCCTCCCCAATCACGTCACAGCCCAGTCCACGGGCACCTGGTTGGACCCAGAACTCAGGGACGACGGGGACATACCACCACCATGCCCGGCGACACTGCCCCTCTGCAGGGGAGGCTTGGCCGGGGAGGCAGGTAGGATCCCACCCTGCTTTCGTCCTTGTGCCACCCAAAACTGCCACAAACGGGGGATTCTTTCAAGAGGCTCCGCTCCCAGTCCCCTGCCACCCCTTTGCCGGGACTCAAGCATCCAGCTGGGAGCCGGGAACGAGCTTGGCTGGCGCCGCCACGGCAGAAGGCCATGGGACGAGGGACAGACGGGAGAGGCGGGGACGGGAACCATTTCCCCCCTTGTTAACAGCGCCGGACCCTGTAGCCTTTTCAGGGCTCTGAATAGGGGGTGGTACCTCTCTTCTGCTGAATGAGAGGTCGGGGATTGTTGGAGCTGGTTTAACACGCCCTGACACGGTTGGAAGGATGGGGGGGCGGGACGTGCTACCCCAGATGGGAACATGTGGGGGGTGTTTCCTGTCGCCACATGCCCTTCCTCTCCCTCCCACTCACCATTTATATGGTAATGAGGACAAATTGATGGAGAGACATCCATTGTGGAACCCTCCAGTCCGGCCCTTCTGCCGGCCACCCACCAGCATCCCCATCCATCACCGCCCAGCTGGGACACTGCTGGGACCACCCCTCGCCTGATACTGGCACGCTGGGAGATGGGACTGCTTCACGTGCCCACGGGCAGTGGGGCAGGTCCCAGGCTGTCCTGGTTCTCTTGGGGCTGAGTGACAAGACAGAAGATGACATCAGGCAAGGAAGAGACCTCCATAAGTCCTGTCTGTCAGCTGGACATCATTTTGTTCTCAACATTCTTTTCATGTGGGGTGATGGAGCTGTGGGGGAGTTAATGGAGCTTCAGGAAGACCCTAGCATCTTATTTATGGGTGTTTTCCCTTCCTTTCACTGCGCTGAAGCCAGCTCAGAGCTCCCTGCTTTCCCTGCCTCCATCCCAAAGCAGCTGCCATATACCCTGCAGCATCCTCCTAATGGGGCAAAGAATTTTTTCCTCCCACTCACTGATTCCTTAAAAACCTGGACCTGGAGATGATCTGCCCCAACAGGCACCCCAAAGAGCAGAGCCTCTCCATATGCATCCTCTGCCTCTGGCTCCCCCTGCCTGCGACAACAGCCTGATTGAAATTTCACTCCATAAAGCACTTCTCGAAAGCCTGACCCCGTGGCTCCCCCGGGGACCAATTTGTCCTTCTCTGTAATAAGAACCTAATTAAATTAGCTCTGCCGCCTTGCAGAGCCCTTAAATTAGCCCAGTGATGAGGGCTCTTGCTGACAGCCTGCTGCCGAATTGCTTCACACTCGCCGTGCTGTGGGGTCCAGGGAAAGCCCCAGGGAGCTCCTGATCCCAGCATGGCCCAGCAAACCATGGCAGGGCAGCTTGGAGATGGGGCAGGGTGTGTACAGAGAAGTGTGTGGGTGGGACAGGTATGGGGAGGCTGTGTGGGGTACTGGCTGGTGGACTTTCCTTCTGCTGGCATAGGAATGGGGTAGAGAGGGGAGAGGACTGCCAAGGGGTGAGGGATAGCACACTAGTGACACTGGAAACCTGTCTACAGGATACAGGCTCCAACTTCTGGGTTAGTGGGTGTTGTGATGATTGGGGTGGTACAGAAGGATGGACAGGCACTGAGGTGATGAGTCCAGACTGGGATGGAGAGGTATCCCTGGCAGTCCCACAATGGCTGTCCCTACTACATCCTGCCACACTTGCCCTCGTTTCCAGGTGGCTCTAATGACAGTTTGGTCCTGTGTAGACTGGGTCAATCCCACAGCCTCCCCTGGGTACGGATAAAGTACTGAGGTAAGAGATGTCATCCTTCCTGATGGAGGGCACGGAGGTGACCAAATCTTGCTCCTAGAGAAGCACATGATGCCCTCTAGCCCTGCCTGCCCTTTAACAATGGGTGCAGTAAGCACCCCCGATCCCTGCCTGCCCTCCCTACACCAGAGTTCAGAGCTCTGCCAGGGAGACAATGGATTTATTGGGCTGTGTCCCCAACCAGGAGAGGTACATCCAGTGAAGAGACAAAAATACACCTGCCATCGGCCACGCTCGCGCTCCCTCACTTCATCCTGGACAACAATCACCATAAAAGCTGTGCTTTAAAATAATCTTTAAATAATTTCTGCTTTTTGTTAAAAAAAAAAAAATCAGCCCCCCAACCAAACGATTTCCCACCCCTGCCCTACACTTCTGTCTCACCCTGCACGCGCCCACACTGCCTCCCATCTATGGTACATACAAAGAGCAGATAAATAAATAAAGACGCGTGATGCTACAGGGGGGACACGGGTTACAGCCTCCCTCAGCCCTCTCCCCTCCACTTATCTAGTGGATATCTAGCTAGGATTTGGAGTGGGGGAACTGTGGCTGCAGCTCTGATGGGACTCTTCCCAGGTCCCAGGAGTGGGTGAGCAGCAACGAATTAACCTGAGGGTTTGGAGTACTGGGGGTTTGGGGAGGTCAAGCCAGCCAGGGTCTGAAGCTTGAGGAGTGTTTTTAGCCTTGGGGTGGGGAAAGACTTTTGGGCTGAGCCAGTTCTAAGCCAGATGCTGGGAAGGTTTTCTGCCTCTACCCCTGATCCTACCAGTGTGTCTATGCCTGGCTGGCATTTGCACCCTTCTGCCCATGTGTCTGCCTCCACAGCCCCTATTGCCAGCCAGAGCACCCCATGCTGTCACAGCAGCCCTACAGGATGCCCAGCTGGGTGGTTCTGGTGCTGGCTTTGGGCAGAGCTGGGCACCTCACTCCCCAGTCTATCACTCCAGTGGCACTTGTGTCACCAAGTTGGAGGTCTCATGCCAGAGCTGTGCTAGACCTCCCACCCCTGCTTGTTTTGGGTGCCCCTGCACCTGGGCTAAGGACAAGGCACAGTCCCAGTACCTGGGTCACCCTCCTCCCAGCTGCCATGTCCCAGGGCTGGAAATAGCATTGCCTGCCTTCCCACCCAGGCTGCCTAGCAAAGGGCCCTGGGCTCCTCTCCCAAAACCTCCCCACTGGGTGAAGACAGGCTAGGAGCCCCAGTGGAGCAGCCAGGGCACTCTCTTCTTCTGCCTCCCACTCACCTATCAGACCTCCATCAGCTAATTCGGCACACACACACACACACACACATACATTGCACACACACACACATAGCAGCATGTAGATCCAGCCGGGGGCGACCTCCTGTCCCAGGGGAAAACCCTTCATGCCTCCCTCCCATCCCCAGGAACAGGGGATGAGGAGGGGGTGGTGAACATGGAGGAGGCACACCATGGAGCTTTGGTGCTCCCAACCAGGAGGTGGCTGTACCCCAAGCAGACAGGGCTGGAGGCAGCTCCCCATGGGCACCCAGCTTTGGGAGGGGGTGCTGGCCCCCAGCGAGTCACCCTGCAGCCACCACCTCCACCAGCTGTGCTGGCTGGGGCTGTGCTGCACCCTCAGCTCTCCGCTTGGGATATCCCCAGTGGGTGGAAGCTGTCAGGAGGCAGGAGCAGCCTCCCCAGGCGGTAGAGCAGCCCTGAGTACCAGTGCACACCATCCCCCTGCACCCCTGGCCACCCCACCAGGCTGTGGTAGAGCCGGAGTGGCCAGAATGCCAGCTGTGCCAGCTGTTGCTCCTGCACCAGAGCAAAGCACGAGGCCACCACGCCGTCCACCACCAGTGTCCCATGGCGTGTCAGCGGGGCATAAGCTCCCACATCCCTCCGGTCCCACACCCGCACCACTTCAGCAGGCTGCAAGCTGCCCCCCTCAGCCACCACCAGCACGAAATGTCCCGGGTGAACAAGGCTGGCAAAGATGGGACGGAAGTGGGCGGTGGGCGCCGAGGCGTTCTCTGCGACGAAGAGCAGGTGGGTGGGCGTCAGGACCAGGCGCCGCGGTGGCTCCTGTGTCTCGATGACGTGGAAGGTGGTGAGGGCACGGGGCTCCTTGTCCAGGAAAGCCAAGAAGTCACTGTAGGTGGGCCTGCCTGCCCCGTCCATTGCCAGCACTCGCTGGCCTGGGCGCAGTGCCCACAGTGGCGTCTGGGCACCGTCCTCCAGCGTTGCCAGTGCCCGCCCGGGAAAGCAGCCCCCCGTCTTCGCAGCGGCTGAGTGCTCTGCGCAGGGAGAGAGAGGACAGGAGGGTTACCCATTAGCCAGACCCTCAGCACCACGTTTCCACTGTACATAGACACCTTCCCAGTCTGCCCGGTTTTGCCTAGCCAGGCATAACCCGCCCTGGTATCACCAGTGAGCTTGTCCCCTACACACCCCCGGCCACCAATCTCCCTTAGGCATCTCATCCCCCAGACACCATGTCACTTGAGGTGGCATCTGGAGACCCCGGCATGGTCCCAGGGCATTGAGCCTGCTGTACAGAGCCAGGTCCCAAGCCCCAAAACAGGACACAGCTATAGCCTGAAATGTGCAAAACACTACCAAGGGGCACCTGAAGCTTGAAAAAGCAGAGGTAGAGCCCTGAAGCAATGGCAGGCTGAGGAGCAGAGTGTGTGGTCTCACTCTACATACCACCACAACATTCTTGTTCCCTGCAGTGCTGGTCCTGGGTACTGCTTGGGAGGATGCTGCAAGGAACAGTGCAGGATGCAGCACCCTTTCCCAGCACTGCAGCAGCCCTTCACCCCATGCGGCAGTCCTGCTCCCTTCTCCCACCTGTTCACCCCTGCGCCACCGATGCCAGCCACCTCCTGCTTCTCTGGGTTGTAGGGAGTTGTCACAACCTGTGGCCATCGTCTTACAAAAGCTACTAGGGTAGGGCTTCCCTAGTGATTGCCACAGAGTAAATGACCCAAACTCTCTGGCTGGTCTCCAGGGATGGCAGCACAAAGCTACTACCCCTTCCCAGATGAAATGTCACCAGGAACCCATTCTGGCACTTAGCAGGGGAACCCTGGCTTCACAAGGAATGGTGGTTAGCTATCCCAGCAGCAGTGTTACCCCAAGTCTCAGCAACTCCCATCTTAGTGTCTATATGATACCCTCCCACCCTCTGCCAGCGGCACCTCACCTCTGGGTCCTGCTCCTAGCTCTGCACAGTTCCATCCTTGAGATCTAAGCCCCCTCTCAGGGCCCTCTCCCAGTTCTCTCATCTAATCCCTGAATGTCCCCACCCAGATGGCACTGCCCCCATCACTCCCCAGGTTTGGGCAGAGCCAAATCCCAGCCCCCAAGCCCATGAAGAGAGGCATCCATCTCTGGGACAGAATCCTTTTATTGCTCAGATGAGGTGCAGTGTCTGCCCTGTCCTTGTCCCGGAGGCCAGGTCCCAAATCCTGCACCCTGCATCCCCTGGCAGGCAGCAGAGCCATGGGGAGGGGCTGCAAGAGGGTGAGAGGGGTGCCTGGCAGAAGTGGATGGCATTGATGCTGGGCATGGAGGGGTAGGTGGGTGCAGGGAAGGACCCGAGGAGACACAATACATACAACAGGCCGTGTGGCCATCCATACAAAAATAAAAGCTGTTTACTAAGAGGCAGGGGCAGCCCGGCTGCCCTCTGTACACAGTTTTGAGGGGATCAGGATGTGTACCCCACAGCCTCCACCACACAATCTTGCCCATGGCCTTGAGGATAAATATGGGGGATCCAGACCCCTGAGGAGCTGCTGCAGAGTGAGGGGAATATAACCAGCCTCTGGAAGCCCTTCAGGGCCCCAGGGCCCCAGTCTGCTTGGGTTATGGCATCCCTCTTCAGTTGGTCCAAGGGGAGCATCCCAGGATTCAAAAGCCTCTGTCTTTCTCCAGGGGCACAGCCCCACTCCTCTGGCCAGCCTCATGGCTGAGGGGTCACGGTCCTTGCTTCGGAGCCTGGCCCAACTCCTCCTGCCAGCCCCACAGGGTGCCCCGGGGCATGGGAGTCCTGGTCCTCCGGCCACGTTTTGTCCCTCTTCTTCGGGGGTGCATCACTCCCTCTCTGCGGCGCGGTCGCCCCGCTTCCATCGCCGGCCGGCGTTGTGCCCGTCCTGGCATCAGCACGGGGAGCGGGTCAGCGAGGGGGGCCAGGCTGGCGTCTGGAGGTGTCGAGCCGCTGACCGCGGGCTAGGGCAGTAGGACAGGCACAGTGCGGTGGGAACTGAGCCCGGGGACGAGAGACGCGGGGCAGCACAGGCACACCGGCCCCGGCACCGCGCACGGTGTGTAGCACACGGTGTGGGTGCTGGCACGGCGCTCTGTGCCTGCGTGTGAGAGGGCTCCGTGTGCAGGCACGGCCCTGATGCACGGGGTGTGTGTGCCAGCAGCTGCCGAGGCTGCTCCCGTGTCCACGCGAGCCCAGGCACAGGCAGAGCCGTCCCCAGCCTGTCGCGACATGGGCACGGCACGGTCCCTCCCGTGCGCGGGGCGCTGCTGCCCTCTGCAGCCCGCAGCCAGCGCGGCCGCTCCGGCGGGAGCCGCATCCCGGGCACGGCTACTTCTCCCGGGGGGGCTTGCACCCCAATAATCCCCTCCGGACTACGGGCAGAGCCCCCCCCTCCGTCCTCCACCCCTCCACCCTTCTGCCCCCACTGCACTGCACAGGAGGAAGCAAACACCACCAGCGACGAGAGCGCCCCTCAAAGCACAACCCAGCTCTGCTCCCCTCTGCAGATGGTGCTGCACAGCCAGGAGTTGATCCCAGGCTACCCCGGCCTGTCCCTGTCTGGATGTCCCTGACCCCATCCCTGGCTAGGCAGGGATGGACAGATGCTGCTGCGGGAGCAGAAGCTCAAAAGCAGCCAGCAGTGGAGCAGGGCAGGGCTGGATGAGATTGACCATGCCTCATACCCATAAGGGACTGCAAGGGCAGAGGCAGGGGAGACAGGTGCCATGGACATACTGGAGGGTCAGGCTACGGGTGAAAGGGATATGAGCTGAGAAAAGGAGGAAGGTAGAGAGGCTGGGTCAAGATGTAGGTCTGTGGGAGCCAGATGGGGAATTTGCCCCATTGTACTGCCTGGCCACAGGTGTGTGACTCACTCCTCACCTGACTGCCCCAGATAGGGAAATCAGGATGCAAGAGCCAGCACCCCCTGCAGGAGCACCCCGCCCAGCCAGCCAGGCTCCCCGGGTATGCTGCAAGAGGGCATCTGGCCCCCAGCTCCCCTCATTGCCCCCCATTCCAGACTTACCTGACTTGACGGAGCAGTGGATGTGTGCCTTGGACTCGTAGTAGACCCAGTCGAAGCCAGCTTCCACAGCCAGGCGAGCCAGCATGCCATACTTGTTGCGGTCCCTGTCTGAGGTTGTGATGTCCACAGCTCGGCCCTCATAATGTAGGGACTCTTCTGAGTGGTGCCCATCCTCATCCCAGCCCTCCGTCACCCTCAGCTTCACCCCTGGCCACTGATTCATGACAGAGATGGCCAGGGAGTTCAAGCGGTCCTTGCAGCGCTGTAGGGCAGAGGGACAGAGTCAGTAGAAGCTTTTTGGAGGGAGGAATTAGCTGCCTGGTGGCAGGCTGCATCCCACCATGCTTCCATTAAGCCTCCTTGGGCCCTCAGGCCCTTGGGGGCTGGTCCAGCAGAGGAAGATCTGAGAATATGAGGTGCCTTGTCTATCCCATGCTCTCCAAACTTCCTGCAGAGCCTGATACCCCACCTTTGGGCAGAGGAGTGTGGACCCAGCAGGGCACCCTTCTCCTCCCTCTCTCCCCCAGTTCCGGGCTCATTTGAGAGCCTGTTGGGCAATGCAGCCTCGGCTGAAACAATCTCTCTGCTCACCGGACACCTGCCCTGTGCTAACTGTACCCCAGAAGTTCCCATCTGACAGAAGGAGGATACAGGAGCCTTCAATCCTGCTGTTTCCTGGCTGGGAGGAGGTCCCAGGGACCTTAGGGCTGTCTCCGGGCACAAATGAAACAACCTGCCTAGTGCTCAACACAGCTCTGCTTGGTATAGTTCCTCAACTCCAGTGTAATAAGGACACAGCACTGGGCTGCCTCACAGCTTCAGCCAGACTCTGCTCCTATGGAAAGTGCCAAACCTGCCCAAGAGCTCTGTTGTGCTGGAACAGAAAGAATGTGGAGTGAAGCCCTCTTCACCTCTCTGCACTACAAGGGCTGAAAATCCTGGGCTGAGGAACAGATCTTAAAAGCCCCAGACCTTGTGGCCACAGAGGTCACACATGAAAGTAGGTGCCCATGGCAGTCCTCCCCAGCAAGCAGAAGGATGCCAGCCCCAAATGTCTGTTTCGCAGTCTTCCCAGCCTTATCCTACCCTGCCCCACATCCCCCAGCCACCAGGGAATGACCAAAATTCTGTGTGCTTGACTTGCAAAATACAGTCCCAGCTTCTGATCCCTTGTCCTGCTGCTAAAGGGATGGAGGAGAGATAGAAAAGGTGTAGGAAAAGGAATATGAGAGCTTCTACAGAAAACCAGCTGAATGGACTAGGGCTGTGCAGTGCAGAAAGGAGATTCTGTGAGGTCCTAAAGAATCATAGAATTGAGTGAGTTGGAAGGGACCAATAGGATCAAAATCCTGGCCCTGCACAGCACATCCCAAGAATCGCACCAAGTGAAACTGTGTATAAAACTTAAGGCAATTTAAGAGACAAGCTGAGACTGGAGTGTTTTTACACTGGCTCCAAAGGCTGAGGTTCACAGTTATAGGTACAGCTGGGTTCTGAGGCATCCAGCTGGATCAGGAGTCCCATTGTCACTGCCCAGTGCTTGCTGGGTGGGAGAGTTCTGGGTGGGAGACTCCAGTGCTCCTCTCACTGTCCAGGAAACAAGGAATCCCATAAAATCAAGGCAGAGGACAGAGCATTCATGGTCATGCACAAAGCCAGTCCTAGGAAGCATTAAATGAAGTGACTGGACAGCAGCTTAAAAAACAGCCACTGCTGGGGATGTTTTTGCATGATGCCCAGCTCAGTATGTCTTGGGTCTTGAGAGTTATAGCAAACATGAGCCAGGGCTTTAAAACCTCATGCTGGCTACATCCCCAGGCTCAGAAATGCCCCAACACTGCTTCTGCAGGGATCAGAAATGTAGGTCCTCATCGTATTCCCAAGCACCTGCTCCCATCCTAGGAAGGTGGGCGCTGCTGCTCTTGAGGAAACCTGCTCTCACTTGGCCGGGTCCAGGCCCTGGGAAGGGCAGTGCCAGGCAGGCCTTTGCCCCACATGAGGTCTGCCGTCATCCCACAGCTCTCTGGGCGTGGGGAGATAAGCCAGGAAGGTGCTGGACAAACAGTTTGCTAGGTGAGGGGAGGAGGAATGGGGAGGAGAGTGACTTTTGTCCCCGTCCAGCACCACCGTGGTGCCACTTGGCACATGTGACAAGCTGTTCCCAAGGTCCCCAGCCCCACCGGACCCCACAATAAGGGAGTTCAGCACTGGAAACAAGGAGGGAATCCCCGAAGCCCCCCTGCATCCCCCTGCCATCACTCCAGGTATTCCCTTGCCACTATCATGCCAGCACCCCGCTCTGGGCACCCCTCCGACCCTCACTGCCAGCTTTTCTGTTCTCCAGGGGCACCGTGCACTCACAAAAACAACGAGTCTGTGCAAGCCTTTTCCCCCAGGCAGGGACAGCGTCAGGCAGACCCCTGGAGCACCGTCCCCGGCTCTGCCGGTGCCATCGGTGGCCAGCAGGTGTCAGAGCAGGGAGGGGACCGGCAGGGACCGGCAGGGAGCAGGTACCGATGGACAAGGACCGGGCAGGCACAGGCAGGTCGGGGAGGAAGCAGGCACCAATGGGTGGGAAACTGGTGAGCAGGGCAGCAGTGGACAAGGAACAACCATCGGTCGGCAGGGAAGAAGCAACTGCGAGGAGGAAACAGACAGGGATGGGCAAAAATAAATAGGGAGCAAGCAGTGATAGGCAAGGCTGAGTAGGTGGGGATGTGCAGGGAGCAGGCACAGGAGGCAGAGAGAAGACAACAAAAGACAGGGATGGGTAAGGAGCAGGCAGCAATGGTCAGGGAGCACACATGAGCTGCAGGAATTAGGTAGGGATAGGCATTGCCTGTCCAGGGGCTCTGCTGCCTGCACGAACAGGTAGGCAGGAACCAGAAAACCCATAAACATGGGCTGTCCACGGGGTCTGTGTTTGGTGGTGATTGCAGAGAGGGCACAGCTTGTCCCTGTAGTAGTGCAGATAACCAGGCACCCCCAGCTCACATGCAGAATGGGGCCCCATATGACCACACTAAGCTGGTGGCTCTGCTGTCCCATGCACCTCATGGTGAAGATCATGGGGATGTTGGGCTGGGCTGAGCAAAGAAGTTCTATCCACCTTCTGCCCAGCCTTTGCATCTTCCTTGTGTGCATACCGGGGACAGAACCGTATCCTGTGGGGCATGCCAAACCACTTTAGGGAAGGCAGCAGGGCAGAGGTTCAAGATGGGGTGCAGTCAGCAGGGACCCCAGGGTCATCTCAGGGGAAGTATGAAAGGCACTCAGGTATGACCACCTCAGCAGAGGTGTTGTGAATGGAGTGTGCTTGGCCACAGCTACTCCCATGTCCAGAGCCTGGCCAGAAGAGGGGTTTTACTAGCATCTCCTCCTGAAGTGACATTTACCCCAAAGGAAGCCAAAAGTCCTACCCCAAGGTCTTCATGAGAGATTCCTCACCACTGCAAGCATGGTCTCCATGTCAGTTGGACAAGCAGTGGCTACAAGGAATGGTGGTTGGGGTAAGGAGAGGTTGGGTTTGGGACTCCATGGGGGCAGGGGACCTATGGCATTCCTGGGCCAGGCTGCTGGGGAGAGGTGAGGCGGGTTCTGCCTCCAGCCTTATCTCAGCACCTCCGAGTGGGACCAGTGAGAGCAAACACACTGGAATTCTTGAGGAAGATGAAACGATAAAGGAAAGGCGGGCAGAGAGCAGCACTACCCACTCCTCTAAGCAGGCGACATCTTCCGGCTGCCTGGGACACCCAGACCCTTGGACTTGGGGAAAGAAAACAGGTTTGAAGTGAGTCAACAGCAGTAAAAGCCAGTGCTCTGGGGGAAGGGACAAGGAGTTGGGTCAATGGCCTTTCCCAACCCATAGCAACACAGAACATGGTGTCAGAGCTAGAGTTCCCATATGTAGGGGGATCTCCCACAGCCAGGGACCACAGGGCAATCCCAGCAGCAAGCTACCAGAAATCCTGCCACCTCCACAGCAAGAGGAGCAATTCCTTGCAGAGCTGTCCAAGGCAAAGTGGTACCCATCTGTGCATGGATGTGTGGCGGCCAGGGACCCTGCTGGAGTAAGAGCCCTCATTTGTGCAGCCCAAGAAGACCAGGATGCTTCTAGGTACTCTGGTAACAAGGCAGTGGTACAGCATGAAATGTTAGGCTGGCACATGGGACACACAGATCTCCCTCTCCCAGGTGTGCTGGGGGGGCACTGGCTGGGTTACAGAAGGTGGAGGGAGCACTCTCGGGAGAAAACACATCAGGAGGCACTCTCCTGCTTCCAATGATGTCATCCACTTCCCCGATGCACGGACTAAAGGAGCTCACTGCTTCCTCAAATATCCCTGAAGCTGTTCCCCAGGGGAGAAGGTTACAGTCCAGCCCCAGGGTTCCAGTCACCAGCAACCACCACTTGTGCTACGCCCCAAGCTTGCACGGTCCCCCTGCTACAGTCCCCAGCCTGAAAACCAACCTGGACTATGGTCCCTGCCCTAAGGGACTCACTCTCAGGGCACACGGGGTTGCAGAGCTGTCAAGCCAGCACCTAAGAAGCTTCTTCTCCCAATGTTATGAACACCTTAGTCAGAAACTATGGCCAGGGTCTTGCTCAGTGCCTACTATCATAATCACTTATGTTCACCCACCTGCCAGCCCCTGACCGGGGGGTGCAGTGGTCAGAAGGGCAGCCCCAGCTCCCCTCTGCTTCCCCCAGGAGCTTGTTCAGGCTGTAACCCTGCTGAGGCTGGTGGCCAGGTTTCTTAGCAAGGCCGTGCGGCTCCTTATCTGCATTCCTGAAACCCTCAGGCATTCTCCTGGCAATATTAAAACACAGAGTAACCTTCGTCCAGCATCACCCCCCCTCCTCTGCTGTCGTCTGTGTCGTCCCCCCCCATCCTTCCTGCCAGCCCAGGGCACTTGTAAGCTGACTGCAACAGGGCATTTGCTGTAACAGGTTGTCCTCAGCTCTGAGCAGAGCAAGCAGTTCCCACTGAGCACCCTTCACCATCCCACAGGAGACATGCAGGAAAAGGGGGCACTGAGGGTTTCAGTGTCAGAGGGGGGACAAGGTCAGCAAGAGCACTCCTGGAGCCCACTCTCCTCCCTGCCAGCACACCAGGCTCTGGTCTGTCCCTCGAATCCAATAGACAGGCTGCCTGCTCTGCCAGTGGATAGGCAGAGTCGAGGGGCAAGGGCAGGATGGCTGCATGGGGCAGGGTGCTGCCTGACGGGGAAACAGCCGCGGCACAGCCCTGCAGGATCGAGGGGATGTGGGAAGATGCTGCCGGATCGGGGGCAGTGTGGCACAGCTCAGGGGCACCAGGGCCGGCTGCTGCCAGCTTGGAATGCAGGGTTATGCCATCCTGGGGGCCTGTGGGACGAGAGTTGAGGGGCAGCAACGCAGGGTGCTGCCAGCTCGGGAATCACAAGAGCGTTCCTCGGGGTGCAGCCATACACGGGTGCCACAGGCTCCGAGGAGCAGCAGGGCAGGGTGCTGCCATCTCGGGGGACAAGATGCTGCCGGTTCCGGGAGCAAGGTACTGCCGTCCCAAGGCACAGCGCGTTGTCCGACGCGCACAGCGCAGCCGAAGGGACAGAGCTCTGCAGCGCCCGACGAAGGGAGATGCACTCGTTGCACGCCGGCAGCCCGGCCCCGGCACCGGGATGCCCGGGGCAGGACGGGGAAGCCGCAGCGCGGGGCCCACACGGTCCCCGGAGAATGGGTAGCAGGGCGCTCTGGGGCAGCCCCGATGCCCGCAGATGCCCGGCGCAGGGGTAGAACCGGGCAGCAGCGGTGCCGTACCTGGGTCATAAGCCGGTCGGCGCCAGTGTTCTCCTCGTCCTTGAAGATGATGTCGGGGTTGTAGTTGGGCGTCAGCTCCTTGAAGCGCTCCGAGTTACGCGCGATCTTGCCCTCGTAGCGGCCGCTAGCCCCCAGCGTCTTCTCGGGGACGTTGGGGCTGAACTGCTTGTAGGCGAGCGGGATGAGCTTGCGGGGCGGGCGGCGGCGGCTGCCCACCACCCTGCCCGGCCCGCAGCCGCGCACGGCCGGCGCCAGCAGCAGCGCGCACCCGCTCAGCAGCAGCAGCAGCCGCGCCGGCTTCATGGCGCGCCCGGCGGCCCCGGGGCGGCCCGGGGCACCGGTAGCTCCGGAGTCCCCACTAGGCTCGGCCGCCGCTCCCGCCGCCCGGCCCAGGGCTCCCCATGCGGCGCGCAGCCGGCGGGCAGGTGCCGGTGCCGGCGGCGGCGGCGGGGCGCGGCGGCTGCCCGGCGCGGGTGCGCTCCGGCTGCCCGGTGCGGCGAGCTGGCGTCGGCCCGCTCTGAGCTGCTGTGGCCCGGCGGCAGCAATAAATAGCGAAGGGCCGTTTGTTTTGGCAGGCGAGCGGCTGCTTGCGGGGCGCGGGGCTCGGCGCTGCCGGAGCCCTCCGCGGTTTGCGCTTCGGCGGTCAGCGCGGCGAGGCAGGAGCCGGAGCAGGAGCCGCCGCTGCCTCCGCTCCCCGGGCAGGAGTGAGAGGGGAAATTGAAGAGATCCGGGACCGGGAACCGCCAGGACCGCACCCTGCCCGTGTCCCAGCCTCCCAGCGCCCTCCCTCTCTCGCCTCCTCCCCGTGGAACCTGCCCCGGGCCGCCCGCAGCCTCCTCCCCCCTGCCGAGCCCCGCAGCCCACCCCGCCGGGGGTGCCCGCCGCCACCTGCCCCCCGGGGCAGCCCCGCCGCCGCCCCAAGGCGCGCCCGGTCCTCCGCACAGCCTTCGCCCCCCTTCGCGGGGCGTCCTGCAGAGGCTCTCTCGCGGCGGAGTGGGCGCGGGGTGGCACCCCCGGGGCTCCGGCCCCCGCCGCGCCGCCTGCTCGCCAGGGGCCCGGGCCTGCGGGCGGGGATCAAACAGAGCAGGGAGGCAGCTGGTTGAAATTTAACCACAATATTCTCGCTCCCCATTGTTTCCAGGGAGGCCCGATATTTCCACAACAGGATTATGGCATCTGATTAACTCGCTGAGACAACAATGAGGGGCTGGGATGGGCTTCCCCTTCTAGCTGCCAAAAGGGGAAAGTAAATATAACACCCTGATTTCAGGAGCGAGGGTTTGAAGGGCCCCCCCCCGGTTCTCCCCCAGCTGTGTGCCGGGGAGGGATCCGGCACAGGTCCACTTGCACACCCTCTGGTTCCCTAAGATCTTCCCAGGTGAGGCAGTGCCTTGGGATGCCCACATGCACACAAACTCTCTTAGGGATGTTCCCTCGCAAGCTCTTCCGTGAGCACAGGGCACAGGTCACTCATAGCAATACACAGTGCCCAGGTTGGAATAGCACAGCCAGACATACAGCTCTGGCTGCAGAACTTCGCTGCTCTCAGCAGGACCAAGAAACCTGGGCAAGAGGGATGCAGGCTGGGGAGTCAGCATCACCCACATACTTGGGATGCTGCTATCTAATGCCCCCAGCAGACCATTTCCCTCACAGGAGCTGCAAGCAAAGTGTAGCTGGCCAGAGATGTCTCCATCAGGTTTTTATACTCAGTAGTCATGGTCCATCAGGTTTTTGTACTGGTTTTCATACTGCATACCCAAAACCAATGTCCAGAGCCTCTGTGAAGACCTGCCACTGAGCAGGATGGGGAGATGCAGCTCTCCCACTGTTCCTGCACATGATGGAGCTAGGGTGTCTGGCCAGCAGCCCCAGGCCTCTCCACTTCTTCACTTCCTTCCAGTGAAGCATCCTAAGGGCATCAGCAGAGAGAGCAGAGGGGATGTACCACAGCACCATTTTCCATTCCTGCCCTTGGCTTCTCAAGGATGCAAGCGGGACACAACTCTGTGCATCACTAGTATAGGAAAATTAGACCCTATGGATACTGTACTAGAGTCACAGGATCCTCCAGGGATCCTGTACTTCCAACAAAATGAACTTTGCACATCACAAGACTGTGAAGCAGGATGATCTGGGATAGTACTGCATCTGGAGGCTGCAGCACTGTCCCAGGGAGAAGTTCCCTAAGAATGCCAGTGTCACAAACCCAGACCTCCAAATAACTTCTGCAGCCTGCCAGCACGCGGTGTGCATATCACAAGCCGCTGTCCCCCTCCCAGCAGCTCTAGGCTCACAGTAAGCAGCCTAGCCCTGCTCTTGCTGGTGACAGTATTCATGTCCCATGGAGGCCCAGATTGGAAGACAGAGAGTTGGGTTTGCTGGTGACAGCAACTCCTGCCCAACTCCCAACTCCTGCTGTGGCATTATGCACTGATTCTAGCCACAGGAAGCAGTGACAGTGCCCTGTTGCTGGGTGCAGAGTCCATCACCTCTCCATGCAGCATTCCCAACGTCAGCCAGTTCTGCCAGGCAAAGCCTGTGGGCACATAGAGCCGAGTGGGACAGGGACACCAGGCACAATAGGGTAGCCAAGCTGAGTGCATGGTGAGGCAGCTGGAGGCTGAGACAAGGTTGGGATAACCAGTGTTTGAGGGTAGAAAATTTGCCTAGGCAGGGGGACTCCTGCTTGTGCAACTGATGGGAAAAGACCTTTGCTGCTACAGTGGAGGTGGGAGAGATGCAACGTCTGTCCCTGTATCACATGTCATTTCCCTCAACAATCGGCCACTCTCAGGCACCACCGGGACTTCTGGCCTGGATGCCAGGACGCATTGCTCCTGCCTGCATTCCAATAGGACACCAGTGCCTCTTTCCTCTGCCCTTCAGCTCTCCCCACCACTGCATCCCACTGTCCCTGCCCCGAGCGGCAGTGCAGCATCCCGAACATCCCTTGCTGGGCTCCCAGGGCTGCCCGGAGCTGGGCGCTGCACAGGGTGAATGAGCGGCGGAGCCGAGCCAGGCAGTCTAGGTGGTGCTATTTCTCTATTTTTGCACTGGACGGGTTTGGGATTTTCCTCTCCCTATTCGCTGCCTTGGTCGTCTTCTTCTCTCTCTCTCTCTCTCTCCCTCTCTCTCTTTTTTTTTTTTTCTTTTCCCTTTCTAAAAATACTTGACAGCGATTGAAAGGTCCCTTTAATCGAGGCCACAGAGCCCTTATTAAGGGCACGGGTCGGGGTGCTGGGCCGTGCCCAGCATAACGGCTTCATTAAACCCTGCGAAAACTAATATTTATGGAATCAAATTTATGGAGGCTGAGGCCGAACTTGTGGCCTTTAATGTGTGTCGGGAGCTCAAATCCAGCTGGCTCCAGGGAGGAGGGGGTGGGGACAGTGAAGGAAACCCCAGCAGGACAGGATGGGACAATGTGTAGTGACATTCCCCGGAGCTGGCGACAACCTGGGCCAGGGAGGAACCAGTGGCCCCGCTCTAGAGTCCTGAGGGCCAGGGTCCCTGTGGTTCCCTGGGGGACAATGGCAAAGCTCTTTTTCCTACTGTCTTCAATCTCCTGCTTTTATTTACCCCCCCATCCAAGCTTCTGCATCCCCACCTTCCCTTGCCTTGGGAGAGGTGAATGGAACAGGATCTGTCCCTGCAGCAGGTCTTTAGGGCTGCTGGACACTCCACAGAGACTTTGCAGCAAGACAGGGCTCAGGAGCAACATCTCTGCAGCATCCCCGGGACTGGCTCCCCTGAGCTGAGTACTCCAGGGAGAAGCAGAGACAGTAATTCACAGAAATGACCCAGGGATGCAGGTGCTGGTTTGCACCAGTCCTCCACTATAGAGTCCACCAGCCACTGGCACAGCCAGGTTGGGATTGTTTCAGCCCTGCCTCTCCCTGTGATGTCTCCTCAGACCCAAAGGGGATAGACAAGCCAGACGCCCTCATCGGGGTGATAAGCATTCCTCCTGAACCAGCTGGCAGGCATGGGGGAACAGCACAGACCCCAGAGCCAGCACAGAACTGAGGGACCAGGCTCACAACTGAGCAGTTCCTGCACCGGATGATGGACTCCATATGGATGGAGCAGGGGTTGCACCAGAGACAACCTGGTGACAGAGGATACAGGAAACTGTTAAGCTACTGAACTCCTGCTGCCCTGGTCCTACCGCTCTGCTAGTAGTAGGACCATCCCTGGGGGCAAATGCCCAACAGGCAGACTCAAAGCTGCCAAGATAAGATGTTTGCAGATGGGAAAATGCAGGATATGAAAGCTACAGCAGTCGGCACAAGCTTCCCATCCCATGGCTTTCTCTCCTACCACCCACCCTTGCCCTGCCTGCTGCTCCCTCAGAAAGGAAATATAAAAAACAACTGGTTGCGCTCATGCTGGGACTGGTCGGCTGTGGCCCAGCAAAGGCCCTTTCATTCCCCTTTCACAGACACAGGGACTGCTCCGGATGTTTTTGTTTCCCCCTTGCTGCCCAGGAGAACAGGCAGCATGACTGCAGCTGGCCCAGCCCCAGGGACCAAGGCAGCTGGGGGCATGGGTCCCTGTCCCAGGAGAGCAGCACCACAGCCTTCAGCCTGCCTGCTGTTTTAGGACCTGACTTGGGAACAGGAATGGAGTCCCAGTCCTGAAGGAAGCATGTGGACACAGGGGCAGGAAGAGGAGAGCAGGAGTAGATGGATGGATGGATGGATGGATGGATGGATGGATGGATGGATGGATGGAGTGTGAAGGGATGGAAATGGGATTTTGTGTCCAGGGAGCATCTGTAACCTGGTCCAGGGCTGCTCCCAGGCCCGGCAGCATTCAGTGTATACTAACTTTTGGTTGTCTCCTTCTCCTTGGAGGCCAAAGCATGGCTCAACACCTGCCAAATAACTATGGTGGAGGTGCCTGCAAATGTAGAGTGTCCCACAGCCCATCCAGGCCCTTTGCCAGCCTGCTTCTGCAGGCAGGGTGTGTATCCTGGTATGGGACAAGAACAGGGGCTCCAGCCCCCTCATCATGCTGTGCCCCCATGACTTGGGCATCCTCTTGTGCACACCCCAAAACACATACTGCTGCTCAGGGTGAGGCACAGCATGGCTGGGAGCTGTGTGCTGTGCCACAGCAATGAGCTGCTGTCACCTCACTGTCCAGAGTCACTGCAAGCCCCTGGGACATCAGGACGGGCCTGATGCAGCAGCACGAGAGGTTACATCCCTTCCTAGACACTACAGGCCTGGTAGGACAGAGCAGGAGAGGGAATCTCACCCAGACACAGCCCTTTATTGAAAACCCACTCAAGAGCAGCCAAACCCCACAGCTCTGCCAGAGCCCCAGCTGTCCCACACCCATTGGCAGCAACCCTCCCACTTCTCCCAGGTCCAGTACTGGCTCTGTCATGAGAGGATTCCTGGCAAAACTGCACCAGGGAAGAGTCAGAAAAGCTGTTTCCTGAAACACTGTTGAAGAAAGGAGTTCCATCTCCCCAACTGGAGACATCTTGGGAAGGGACCATGACCTGGGCAGGGTCCACCAGGAGATGCAGAGAAGAGGCAGATGATGCATGGTGCTCTGCGCTCCCTCTCTTGGATGCTGGGGGAAGCAGAGATCTCAGAAGGGTTGGCAGCAATCTTTCAGCTGAAGAGCCCTTTTGCCTTCTTTGGCTTGGCCTTGGCTGCAGCCAGCCGGGGCTTCTGAGCTGGGGAGGAGGTTGGCTGGAAACAAAGAGGAGGCAGTGTCAGTTCCACCTTGGGGAGTCATGCAGGATGTGCGCAAGTGTGCAAGCAGCGACATTCCTGTCATCTATGTTGTGGGAGTGCAAAATATATACATGTGCAATCACACACTCTCCAGTCAGGATGCATGGGGTAGAATGGGCTAGGAACCAAGCTGAGACTCCTAGCCCATCCTGAATGGGCACAGTGCTTGGATGAGAAGAGGGAAAGGAGATGTGGCTCCATCCTGCCCTTGGTACAGAGAGACTTTCTAGAGCTGCACTCACCGAGGTTCTCTCACTGGAAGATGTCGTTTCATCCTCCTGGGATGGAGCAGGTGGATGGGGGTGCTCTGTAGTTTCTGCAGTGGGTGCTGTATCCACGTCGCCCTCTGGTACCAGAAAAATATACAATTTGGGATTGAGATAAGGGAGCATGGGCCAAACTCACTCCAGGAATTGTGCTTGGATTGGGAGCCCAGCCCGCAGGGGGAAAGCAAAGGAAAATACTGTTGCATGGGGTGAGCTGCACCTGGGGCCACATTCCCTTATCCCAGGATATGGGGCTCAGCAGTCGAGGGGACAGCTGCATCACATGCTCCCCATGCCACAGCCAAGGAACTCCTCACCAGAGCAATGCCGTTTCCGAGCCTGCTTGGCCTCCTGCTGTGTCACTGCAGTGTAGAGCTGCTGCAGAGCAGAGGCAAACGCCGGCCCTTCTCCCGCACGGCAGATCCCGGGCAGGGTCTGTGGGAGAAAGTAGAGGCACCATCACCCTGCCAGGAAATCACCTGCCAGATCACCCTGCCACGGTGCTGCTATGGAGCAAAGAAGAGGCTGTGCACCACTCTGCCTGTCAGGCGACATCTGTTTCACCCCAGGACTGCAGCAGAGTTTGTGGGAATGGGCAGCTCTGGCACTGGGTGGGATGTGGCTGCTCCAATTGTGCACACACACACACACACACACACACACACATGTGCACACCCCTGCACACCTGCTCCAGACAGTGGGTTGCCTTCCCATTGAGAGGCAGACTGCAGAGGCTTTTGGGTCATTCATGAAATGCCAGAGATAAGATCACTCTGGAAGGGCTGTGGCTTCCCTGCCTGCAGCAGCATGGGCTGCACTTGTGAATATGGACAGTGAGCCTTGGGCAGGGACATGACCTAATAAGAGGTGGAAACCGGTAGCCCCTGCCTGCCACCACAGTCTCCAGCACAAGGCATCTCTGGTGGCCCCACAGAAAGTGAAAATTATGTGACAGTGAGACGAGGGATGCCCAGTTTTGCTCCCAGTCTGCCAGAACAGCTCCTGCCTCCCTGCATACACTTTTATTCCCTCCAGACTTGACATGGGAAGTCCCCCTCCTCCAGCCTGCACACTTTGCCAGGGGGATGCCACCTTTCCTGCTGGACCATGCTGATGCACATGAGAGATCTCAGCAGGTTGGGGAAGTGCCACACTCCACTGGGAACATAACATAGCTCTCAGTGCTCAAACAAACATGTACAGAGATGGGGAAATACCCATGTGTCCTGGAGGGAGTGCTGCGGGGGGAGTGTGGGGCACAGTGTGGGAGACAAGCACAGGTAAGTGTGAGCATGAGCACAGGGACTGTGAGTGCAGCAGTGTGCAGATGAGCATGGCCGCTCATGGGTGCACACATGGCTCTGTGTGTGTGTGTATGTGTGTGTGTGTCAAAGGTCTGAACATACTAATCTCTGCCCTGCTCCACACCCAGACAGCAGGAGAACAAAGTGTAATAGATAAGGTAGGATCCTCTCTGGGCCAGGAAAGTGGGGAGGGAATGGGGACGCTCAGACCCACTCAAGGACAGAGTACAAAGCCTGACCCCAGCTTCCCAGTAGCAGAATAGGTAGGCTGAGCCCTTCTCACTGCTCCCTGCCAGACAGGGTGGCAGGATAGGGCTGATGCCTGGATGGGTTGGCTGGTGTCTAGAGAGACACTTTCCATGCGGGTCTCATCTCTTCTGCTGGAGTCACAGGCATGAAAGGACCTTGGCTGTAGGAAATGCATGGCACAGGCTGCTTTTTGACCAGCTGCTATACAGGTCACTTCCTCTGTCCCTGCCCACTGCCACCGGAGGGAGCGATGTTCTGCTGCCAGCATCCCAGGAGCATCCCTGGGATTGCTTGATACTGGGAAAGCACATCTCTCAGTGCCTCATTGCCCAGCCTCCAAGCCCTTAGCTGTACGGGCCCATCACAAGGTCCCCGAGAGGAGGAAGGATGCTGAGAACCCCAGGCACCCCAAGGATGCTCTTGCCCTGCATGTCTCACCCCACAGAGCCAGGATTGCACCCAAGGTTGCAAAAGCAGCATCCAAAGCTGGGAAGGTGACTGGACTTCAAAGGCAGAAGAGGGCCTGGTCACGGGTGGCCGACACAGCCCAGATCAAAGGCACAAGCTGGAGTCATAATTCAGAGAAAAGCAAACAGCAGCTCCCAGGAAAGTCAGGAATGGCAGTGAAGTAAGCAAAGTGTACTAGATAGCACTGCGTGGGTCAGTGCCCCAGGAGGGCAGGAGAGTCCCCTGCAGAGCCAGCCAACTCTGGGTGCCACTACTATGGTGCTCACCCCTCTCCCTGCCACCAACGGGTCTCTGGTGAATGCCAGGGCAATGGGGCGGGCTATGCATCCAGGGTGCTGCCCAATCCCCTCTGCTCCAACCCATCCAGGATGGCACCTGGGATGTGCCCCGAGCCTCAGGGCTGCTCAGGCTGCTCCATTTCGGAGCATTCAAGCAAGGATCTGGGCAGGCCAGCTGCTCACTCAGTGCTCAGCCCCAGCTGCCCAGAGCCAGCACAGTGTCCCTGGGGATGGGGCAAATCATCCTTGCAGCCACTCAGTGTCCCCAGTGCCACCGGGGTGATTTGGCATCCGGGGTGGCACAGGGGTGCAGGTGCAGGGCACCTGCTGCCCACGCCTGCGGGAAGGGCTCAGCTCCAGCAAGCCCAGGGTGGAATCTGGGAGTCAGCGGCCACTTCCTGCCGCTGCCCTTCCCGGCGGCTGGAGCCCGCGGGCTCAGGGCCATGGGGTGGCTGGAGCTGGCCCGCGGCGGGACTGGGAGGCTGCGCTTCACAGCCCCGGAGGGAAATGGGTTATAACCAGAGCTGGAAGCGTTTCCCTGCAGAGCTATGACTCAGCAGGGAGCAGAGCGTGCTGTGCCGGCCACCGGCCACCTGATGGCCCCGAAGGCTGAGAAGGACATGAAGTGTCCCTTAAAGGGCTGGACAGGGGACAAGCCCTGGCTACAGCTGATTTCCTCCTTGCCCCACTGCTCCATTCCAAAGCTGAATCCTGCTGCAGACAACTTGTCCCCACTGCAACATCAGCCCTGGCCTCTGGTGACTTGTTTTTCCCTGATTACCCATCTCCAGGATAAACATGATGTCTGAGGTCTGGGGAGCCACACAAGCAGAGAGCTGGCAGCTGGGGGAGTGCTGGCCAGGCTGCCCCACACGACTCGCCAGGCACCAGGGAGCGATGCCTCGGGAGCTGGCATGGCTTGTCTGGCCTGTTATGACTACCTGGCCACAAGGCCAAGTGGGATGCCCCAGTATCAGGAGGGACTCAAGGCTGCGGTAGCGGCACGGGAGACTCCACAGCACACCCTGAACTGCGACTGGTGGGGGTGTGCCCAGCAAAGGGGGGCAGGTGCCCAACCTCACACTGAGAGCAAGTCATCCTCACTGACAGCCCCACGGTGTGGAGGGCAGCTCAGGGGGAGCTGGGCTGCAACCTCACTCAGTAACCCCCAACCCAGAGGGCTCTGCTATGGGGCTGCACCCCAGTGCAGAGATGCAGCAGGGTCAGTGGTGGGCAGGGTACAGAATCTATCTCCAAGGCACTCTGCATTTACCCACCCCCTGCCCAGGACGGGTTTGTTGGCAGGCTGGATCATGCTGGGCCCCCGCACCACTGCCAAGCACCAGAGTCTAAATCGGTCATGCTCAAAGCTGGGGACTGACCCTTTCATTATCACACCAGACGTTCGAAGCGGTTACCAACATTCTTCACTACAAATCCCACATTCCTATTTTTTAATATATTTTTAACTGGAAAACAGAGCAAATGGGGCCTGTTTGGAAATTACAGCCTGGCTGCTGTGGCTTGTATGTCAGATCTGCCCACATTCCCGTGGCCAGCCTCAGCACATGCTCCACAGGGGCACACTTAATAATTCCTGCTGGGGCTGGAGCCAAGGGGTGTGCACCAAGGGGAAGGATGGCTTCCCCAGGCTGCCCCTGCCAGCGGGCTCCATGGAAGCAGTGTGGTGGAATGACAGACCAGGAATGGCAGATTGGCTCTCTGGCACTGGGCACAGCCACTGCCACACTGGCATGGATGAAGTCTGGTGCTGCTGTGGCATTCGATGGTGGGCAGGGGAAGGGCTCCATAGCTGGCGCATTCCTGTGCCTCGTGGCCTGACTGCCCTTGGCACTCTACCCTGCCATAAGCTTTGTACATGCTGCTGGGGCTGGAATGGCTTGCTGGATCTGTGCTGGGCATCTCTGCCCATGGTTATGCCAATTTTAGTCAGGCTAGGGAGAGACCGCCTCTGGGATCCAGACAGATGCTCACCCATCCTCTGCCAGCAGCAGACAATCTGTCTGCAAGGGAATAGATGGAGAGGGTTGAACTGTCCCCTTCTAGGTGGTATCAAGGGCAGGGAAAGGAGGTGCTTATTCCCTGAGATGAAGCAGGCCACATCAGCCCAGTCTCCTGCCCCAGCTCCCTTGTGTGACAATGACCCTCTCCCTGGGTACAGAAGCATCTTTAGGCACCCCAAAGTGCCCTATACTTACCACTGACGCCCTTTCTCAGCTCCTCCAGCCTTTATATCTACTTGCACCACTCCCCCAGCCTGTAGCAGTTCCTGGGACACTCCATATCCCAGAAGCAGGTGGCTAAAGGACCAGCTCTGAGATCACATTATCATTGTCTCCATCCCCCCTGTCATGCATTCCCAGGGGACACGCAGCAGCAGCAGCAGCAGCAGCAGAGCAGCAGCAGAGCAGCAGCTAGGAGAGCTGGCGGTGCTGCCAGCCCGCCCTTGGAGCAGGCACGGGCAGGATGGCCAGGGCTTCACAGGCAGGCAGCCAGGCTGAGCACACCTGGCAGGAAGTGGCGGTGCCGGCAGGGGAAGGCAGCCGGAGAGCTGCTGAGAGGTGAAGGGTTCACCCCGGGGAAGAGCGGGTGGTGAGGCCGGGACAGAGGAGCATCCCAGCCCGGCCCAGCCCAGCCCAGCCCGGCATGGCACAGCACTCCTCCCAGCATCGCTCTGGCCCTGCTGCCAGCAATGTTTTCCTTTCCCCCTGACTTCAGGGGCCTTTCCAGCGAGCAAATGTCAGGCACATAAAGAGCGGCACTGTGAGCGGAAGATGGAGCGAGAATGCCTGCCCGCGTCCCTCCGTAAGTGCTGTCTCACACTTCATCAAGGCAGCCTTTGCAAGAGAGGCACTCGCTTAACAACCAGCAGTCTATGCTGGCCGGAGACCGCAGCAGCCCCGCCGCTCAATACCCTTTTCTTTTCTCCTTGTGCTGTTTCTGTGGCTTGGGTTACAGCCTTTCTCGCAGACACTGAGCGGAGGGGCGTGGTGGCAGCGGGGGCTCCGCATTGTGCCGCCGCCACGTCGGGGAAGATGCCGGTTCCCCCCATGTAAGGATGCTGGGGGGTTCTATACCCGCCTTGCCCACTCACTCCTGCATCCAACGCACAGGG